GGTCCATCAACAATTAAAAAATATTTTAAAAAGAATAATTTAACAGTCTAAAGATTTTAAATATAGCTTCTAATTTTAAAACAAGGAATAGAATAAATAGGCCTTGAAAGTTCTGTTTTTTCAAAATAGTAACTGGAATTATCAATGTGTTGAAAAAGAAATATTTTTGCTGTTTCTTAAAAAGGAAGTATGTTATCCAAAGCAGACCAATTTTAATTTTTGTTTCCTTAGAGCTTCTCATTGAAAAGAGTGGTTTTTATGTGTAAGTGAATTCTCTTATGGATTCTGTATGAGGCATGCTAGATCCTTGAGATCAGAAACTTTTGATCTCAAACTCCTTGTTAAATATGATTTAGAGTTGTATGGTTTTAGGGGATTTAGTCATTTGTTCCTTGGCTCTATGACAGATTGCTTGCTAACATAAAAAAACAGTTTTATGTTTGAAAAATGATTTTTCAATAGTCTATATAACTAAACATTTGCATAGAATAGCCATTGACACAAAGAATAATTTAAAAATATTTATTTTAATTGATACACAATTGAACATGTTTATATGAGGTATTGTGTGATATTTCAGTACACATATACAGTGTGATGATTGTATCAGGGTAATTGACATATCCATCATTTCAAACATTTATTGTTTCTTTGTGCTGGGAATATTCAAAATCCTCTCTTTTGAAATGTAAAATTAATTGTTGTCATACATAGTTATCCTGTTGTGTTATAGAACATTAGAAATTATTCCTCCTGTCCAACTGCATCCCACAAATAATTCTCTCTCCATCCCTCTCCCTTTCCCAGCCTTATTCTAACAAAGCAAACTCATGAATAATATGGAGTCTAAAATTCTCAGAATGAGGGGCTGGGGTTGTGGCTAAGTGGTAGAGCGCTTGCCTAGCATGCCTGAGGCACTGGATTTGATCCTCAGCACCACATACAAATAAATAAAATAAACATCCACCAATAACTAAAATTCTCAGAATGAGGGGCAGATTCATCTAGATCAGGATAGTTTCCCAAGTGTTCATTATTTGTTTATTCTATTTAGTAGTTGTACTGTTTTATAATGTATTTTTCCATATGTAGTTGTTTCATCTCCCTTTTTAGATTGCATTTTGAAAAATAGCCATAGCAAAAAACAACAAAAGTTGTCAAATTACAAGGTAGGCTCATGAATTAATGATTTGATTCTTGAAGAGCTGGCAGTTTTATAATTTAAATTTAGTAATAATTTATGCAGTGTACAATATGTCATTCTTTAATCCTTACAATATTCCTATGAGACAGGTAGAATTATTATCCTCATTTTATAGATGGAGAAACTTTAGCACAGAATTCATTAATTTTTCTATTTTGACATATGTTGAAAGTGGCAGAACCAAGATTTGATCTAAAATAAGTCTGGCACCACTGTTTCATTTCCCTGCATTGCCTATATAAAGCTTTTATATACAAATGTCATACCTTTTAAAGGCATCAACTTGGAGTTTAATTTCATTGCTCTGTTCAAAACATGTTTTGAGTTCCTTTGGGTTTATTTTTCAAAGAGAATGAGACCAAGACAAAGCCCTGTGGAAAACAAAGCCAAGGGCCATTTAAGGAAATAGTGTGGGAGGAACAAGAACTAACAGGTAAATGCAGAGGAAATTATTAGAGATATAGAAGGAGAATTGGAAGAAGGGAAAAAAATTCAACCTGTTTATTTTATTTTAAAATGTGAAGTCAAGGAAGAAGAGTTCAAATGTAGGTGATCAGCACTATCAGATGTTACAGAGAATGAGAAATAAAAAATCCTATTTGGTTTTTGTAAACATAGAAATCATTGGTGACTTGAGATCACATTTATGGTAGAGTAATCAGAACAGAATCCAACTAAAGACAGAAGAGAACAGGAGAGAAATTAGATGGAGAGTTTGGTAAATTTGACCCTTAAGGGAAGAAGAGATAGCCTAGATATAATTAAAAGGAAGAGAACTAAGGGTTTATGTGTCTATTTTAAAGACAGGAGCGCTATAAAGGTAGAGTGTTAGATAAAGAGATTATCATGATTGGTTTATATACATATAAATGTAAAAATAGAGTTATTTTATCCTTGACTAATGTTCTGAAGGAAAATAAATAAGTTAGTGTTTGTTCTTCATGTGTATTAATGTTTTTCTGTTTAAAACAAAGCATGGAGAAAGTTGAAGAACAATTTTTGTTAGTTTATTTGAAATAGTACTACAAAGAAAAATGAAAGAGCATATGGATCTAAAACCAGATTTACAAAAATAGAATAATATTTAAAGTGTTCCTTGAGAATCAAAAGTTTTCCAAATCTTGAAAATGGAGACGGTTTTTAATAATGGCAATGAGTTTTTAAAACATAAAAGTTGATAGAACTGTTTCTAATTAAATTTATTTATAAATAGTCTTAGAATTTTTTCTCATATAAAGAAACTGGCAAAGTAGTCTATTAAATCATTTTACATTTAAAAAGAAATTGTTACAAGTTTTTGATGATGTCACAAAACTATGGAGGGAGCAATTATTATAGTTAGAAAAACTTGATAATTTATGATCTGACTCATGATTAAGGTCTGAAACACTCATGTCATTTCCTCTCATTCCCCTATATGCAATGACTTGTTCATTTTGGATCCTGAGTTGTTTAACTTTTGATATTAGCAAATCTGAACACTGACACTTAGTTGGTTTTTCCTGAAAAATCTTAAGGCTAATGATTGTGTGATATTTATTTTAACACATTGCTGGTAATCCACAATGGAACTCTTTTTGGGGTAGACTTTGAGGTTGTGTCTAATCCATAATATGGATATCACACTTTAAGCCAGCAGGATGGATGATGAGCTGCAAGCAGAAGAGAATACTTATGTATAAAAAAATACCTTTATTTTTTAATATTTTAAAAATTGTAGATGGACACAATAGCTTTTATTTATTTATTTTTATAAATAAATAAATACTTATGGAACCTCAGTTCCAACTCTTGGAAACTGGAAAATTTATAAAAACTTGTAGAATAAATTATCATTTTTAAACTATTTGGCATGGTCTTTGTCATTCTCAAATAAAACTTTAATTTTGTGCTGTTATAATCAGTAATATTTGAACATTTAGTGTTGTTCTTGAATTTCTATTCCATTAACTAATGAGGAGTTAGGAACTATAATTCTGTGTATCCAAGAATAAAATATATGGCTGATTTGAATTTAATTCTTTGCTACATGAAGTAAAGATTCATTATTTAATATAACATAATTAAAATTAATAGTAAAATTTTATATGCCATGCCAATGCTGTGTATTCTTTAAAGTAAAGGTTAGGTTTTTTAAAAAATTTTTTTAGAAAACAAATATTTTTGATATATATAAAAACAGTATTTAACTGTGCATTTTATAAGTTTGGACAAGTATATGTCTGTGAAACTATCACCATAGTCAAAATAATTAGCATGTCCATCATTCCCAGAAGTTTTTGATTTCTTCATATCCTTCTTGTTCGTTACTGTCCTCTGTCACCAGGCAATCACCCTTCTTTCTGTTACTATAGTTTACATTTTTTAGAATTTTGTATAAAAGGATATACATATTCTTCCAGAATAATTGAGATTTATCTACATGGTTGCATTTCTTTGCTGTTTTGGTATAGTGTTTCTAATTTGTTTCTTCATTCATTTTACAATTTTTGGCTACTACATGTAAAACTATTATTAATATCTATAAGTCTTTGTAAAGAATATGTGCTTTCATTTGTGTAAATATGTAGAACTGGAATGGCTGGGTTATGTAGTAAGTATATATTTAAGAAACTGCCAAACTATTCCCCAAAGTGGTTGTATATTTTACATTACCACCAGCAGTATATGGGAGTTCCAGTGCCTCCATACCCTGGCCAACACTGACATAGCCAGTCTTTTAGATTTTAGGGATTCTAAAAGGTGTGTAGTAATATCTCATTGTGGCTTTAATTTTAAATTATTAACATTTCCTTAATGATTAATAATTTTGACTATCCTTTTATGTGCTTATTTGTCATCTATATATCATCTTTGGAGAAGTCTCTGTTCAAATCTTTTGTTCATTTTTTAAAATTGACTTATTTTCTCATAATTGATTTGGGAGTTATTTTTGTTCATTTGTTTGTTTTGTCCTGTTTTGTTTTAGCAGCTTGAATCAAAACCCATTTAGTATTTCACAGTTTCTGTGGATCAGGAAGCCAGGCACAGCTTTTGAGTTTTCTATTGCAGGGTTTAATCTAGGGGTACACTATTGCAGGGTTTAATCTAGGGGTACAATCTCATTTCAAGATTCAACCAGGGAAGGATCCACTCCTAAGTTCACATGATTCAACATCCTTGTGGGATGTTGGACTGTTTTTTGCTGTCAGTTGGAGATTTCTCAGTTCCTGCTTCCTGGGTCTCTTCAAAAATCAGCTCACAACATTGCAAACAGCTTCATTGAAGCCAGTAGGGGCATGTTGGTGCATTCCTGTAATCTCAGTTACTCAGACGGATGAGGCAGGAGGATCATAAGTTTGAGGCCAGTCTGGGCAATTTAGCAAGAACCTGTTTAAAAATAAAATATGTAACTCAGAGGTAGAACCCTCTTGGTTCCATCCCAAGTAATCTCCCCAAACAAACAAACAACAACAACAACAAATGCAAGGAGAAGTTTATGTCTGCTAGTTTATTATAATTACAAAGGATTCTGATAACAATCATGTGGGAGAGACACATAGGACGAAATATGTAGGCGGAGCATGAAGCTTCCGGGCACTTCCATGTGTTCAGCAATCCATAATCTTTGAAAGTTCTTTTTATATTCCAGATACAAGTCTTTTATCAAATATGTGATTTGGAAATATTTTCTCCTGATTTTTTACTTGTCTTTTAATTTCCTTATCACTGTTTTTTAAATAGAAGAAAATTTTAATTTTGATGAAGTCTAATTTGTCAGCTTTTTCTTTATGGATTGTGTTTTTGTTCTCTTAAGAAATACTTTGGGGGCAGGAATGATGGTGGGATGAGATGAACATCATTACCCTAGGTACTGCACATGTGGTGCAACTTTACATTTTGTGTAACCAGAGAAATGAAAAGTTGTACTCCACTTATGTATAATGAACTGAAATGTATTCTGTTATCATATATAACTAATTAGAACAGTTTTAAAAAAATCTGTAAATTAGGTCGCTCTCTCCTCCCCTTTGCCCTGCCGTTCCTCCCTCCCTCCCTCCCTCCTCTTCCTCGGTGAGGCGCTCCTCCGGCAGGCAGGCAGCATGGCGGCCGTGGAGACGCGGGTGTGCGAGACGGACGGCTGCAGCAGCGAGGCCAAGCTCCAGTGTCCCACCTGCATCAAGCTGGGCATCCAGGGCTCGTACTTCTGCTCGCAGGAATGTTTTAAAGGAAGTTGGGCTACGCACAAGTTACTACATAAGAAAGCAAAAGATGAAAAGGCAAAGCGGGAAGTGTCTTCCTGGACTGTAGAAGGTGATATAAACACTGACCCCTGGGCAGGTTATCGATATACTGGTAAACTCAGACCACATTATCCACTGATGCCAACAAGGCCAGTGCCAAGTTATATTCAAAGACCAGATTATGCTGATCATCCCTTAGGAATGTCTGAATCTGAACAGGCTCTTAAAGGTACTTCTCAAATTAAATTACTCTCATCTGAAGACATAGAAGGGATGCGACTTGTATGTAGGCTTGCTAGAGAAGTGCTGGATATTGCTGCTGGGATGATTAAACCAGGTGTAACTACTGAAGAAATAGATCATGCTGTACACTTAGCATGCATTGCAAGAAATTGCTATCCTTCTCCCCTGAATTACTATAATTTCCCAAAGTCTTGTTGTACTTCAGTGAATGAAGTCATATGCCATGGAATTCCAGACAGACGACCTTTGCAAGAAGGTGATATTGTTAATGTGGACATCACTCTTTATC